AATGCAATCAAAGTAAGTAGTGCTATTTAAGCAAACATTAAAGAGCTGTTGAACAAAGACAAGAATTCTTGGATAAATATGAGTGTGACGTTTACAGCCGGAATTTCGTACGAACTTTTATTGTGACATCGAAACGCAAAACATCAACAATAATTGTGATTAAAAATAATTATTTCAATTGGGATTGCTCTCGTACAATTTCATAATGTATATCTAATAATCTATTCTATTTATCTATTCCATCTATTAATAATAATATATTCATCTAATATCTGATAATAATCTTATATAATAATTTATTTTCTAACAAGCGTTGGCTATCAATTTAACCCAATCCAGAAGAACTCCTGGATCAACCAATCTGGATGCTTTTGATAGAACTATCTCGCATTTGCGTTACATCAGGGGTCTGTCCAGACATTTTGCGAAAGGTCCGGTTTTCGTGAAATTGTGAAAAAATTACTCACATTCTTTCAACCAGGGTCCTGCTCTTATGAACTTGAGCAAATAGGGTCCGGTTATTGCAAAAAACTTTTTCAAGGAGTTTTTAAATTGTAAATAGATTCAAGATTTTGTAAAACTATAATTAAAAAAATTTAATTTTCAAAAATAAAAAGCAATTGCTGCTTCTAAATTAGAGATGTATTTACAAATATTTGGTATTTAGCCCATACTGCTGAACGCAGAATATTCATTTTGGACGAATAGTGGAAGAATCGTCTGCCAAAGACAAAACTTAATTCGTTTACATCCATCTTTCTTGTTTTCTGCCCTGGAAAGTATTTATTGAATTAACAAAACAATAATGAAGATAAACAAATTTGTGAAGGGTCCGATTAAAAGAAAAATCATTTTGAGAAGGGTCCGTTTTTAAGTTAAAATATTTTGTGAAGGGTCCGTTTTTATGAAAAGATATTTTGTGAAGGGTCCGTTAATGGACCCAAATTTATTCTAAACAGACCCCTGGTTACATGGAGAGGAAAATCACGAAAATGTGGGGATTCTTAACTCATGATCCGTCTGCCACTGAGGGTATTTTAAGCGAGCACCGTGGTCGGTGCGAGCCGAGAGCAGAATTTGTACTGACCAGCCATCGCTGGGATTCGAACCTGGAGCACTTCATGGGGAGACTTTATCCCGTTAATATTAATGAGTTTTATAAACATTTGAAGTTTTTATTCAAGTTGATTATTTAAAATGACTAAACTCAGGGGATTCATTTATTTTCAAAAGACTTAGATGATGAGGGGACGGACAATCCTTTTATTCGGGGGACGGGATACCCTGTTTGGTAGGGCACTGGACCCATGTCATGGGTTCGATCCCTGCCGACAGAAGATCCCTGCCAGTGTAGTAAATGGTGACTGGTACACGTTAAATCTGTCGGGTAGCAAAGCCTTCCTTGTTCCCTCTGGGAGTACTAATCTAGGAGTTTCGTCTTCTGAATTGGTTCAAAATTACAAGGATACGGAGTTGAACATTAGTAGTCGAAACCCAAAATCGGGTAAAGTGTTCAACGATGGTTATAAAATAAAATAAAATCCTCTTATTCTAACTGGGGGGAGGAGTTTATATTTTGAGTAAGGTAAAATTGTTCAAATTTTACTTTTTTTTTTTTTTGCATGCGTTTAACTGCTACGTTTTTCATCTTCCCTATTTGAATGAATACTGTTCTTTATTTTCAATACATTTGAATTTACTTTGTGTGCTTTTCAATTTAGCACGCTCTCGCCTTGAGCAACGGTTACAGAAACAATTTTCGCAGCATGGAAGTTCATTTACTGAAAACAAATTTTTACTTAAATGTTTTTTCTTTCTTTCTTTCTTTTACACTAGTGATTCTAAATATCTTCTTACCTCAGAACTTGTTAGCGAACAATGAACGCAGACCAAATGCATTCAAATGATTAAAACGCCTTATAAATCTAAGTATCTTTTAAACTGATTAAACAGAGGGAGCATTTTATATTATTACTTGAAATATTTCGATATTAATGAAGGAAGTAAAATAATACGTGGAATATAATACAGTGATCTCTCTCGTGTATAATTAGGATAATTTATCTTGTTCTCGCCAATTCATTCCTATGAACTAACATTTCATACTGGAAATGCTTGAACTAATTTAAATAACACAAATTATTTTAGGTCAATAAAACCTCCTACAAGTTGAGTATCGTAATCATTAGTTCAATCGGCGAATGTTTAAATTTGTCAAGCGTCAGAAAAATTGCCCGAATTCCCAATGCACCGTATATTTTTGAAAATAAAGTATGAACTAAAATAATTACAAAAAAAAATNACAAATATTTGGTATTTAGCCTATACTGCTGAACGCAGAATATTCATTTCGGACGAATAATGGAAGAATCGTCTGCCGAAGACAAAACTTAATTCGTTTACATCCATCTTTCTTGTTTTCTGCCCTGGGAAGTGTTTATTGAATTAACAAAACAATAATGAAGATAAACAAATTTGTGAAGGGTCCGATTAAAAGAAAAATCATTTTGTAAAGGGTCCGTTAAGTTAAAATATTTCGTGAAGGGTCCGTTTTTATGAAAAGATATTTTGTGAAGCAATTTCTTCTAAACAGACCCCTGGTTACATGGAGAAGAAAATCACGAAAATGTGGGGATTCTTAACTCATGATCCGTCTGCTACTGAGGATATTTTAAGCGAGCACAGTGGTCGGTGCGAGCCGAGAGCAGAATTCGTATTGACCAGCCATCGCTGGGATTCGAACCTGCAACCATCGGGAGACTTGATCCCGTTAATAATAATGAGTTTTATAAACATTTGCGGTTTTATTCAAGTTGATTAGTTAAAATGAAACTCGCGGGATTCATTTATTTTCAAAAGATTCAGATGATGAGGGGACGGACAATCCTCTTATTCAGGGGCCGGGATACCCTGGTTGATAGGGCACTGGGCCCACGTCGTGGGTTCGATCCCCGAAAGCAGAAGACTCCCCGTGTAGTAAATGGTGACTGGTGCACGCTAAATCTTTCGGGTCGCAAAGTCCTCCTTGTTCCCATAACAAATCAATACCTCTGGGAGTACTAATCTAGGAGTTTCATTGTCTTCTGAATTGGTTCAAAATGACAAGGATACGGAGTTGAACATTAGTAGTCGAAACCCAAAATCGGGTCAAGTGTTCAACGACGGCTATAAAATAAAATAAAATCCTCTTATTCTAACTGGGGGGAGGAGTTTATATTTTGAGTAAAGTAAAATTGTTTAAATTTTTACCAATCTAGAATTTTTTTTTTTTTTTTGCATGCGTTTAACTGCTACGTTTTTCATCTTCCCTATTTGAATGAATACTGTTCTTTATTTTCAATACATTTGAATTTACTTTGTGTGCTTTTCAATTTAGCACGCTCTCGCCTTGAGCAACGGTTACAGAAACAATTTTCGCAGCATGGAAGTTCATTTACTGAAAACAAATTTTTACTTAAATGTTTTTTCTTTCTTTCTTTCTTTTACACTAGTGATTCTAAATATCTTCTTACCTCAGAACTTGTTAGCGAACAATGAACGCAGACCAAATGCATTCAAATGATTAAAACGCCTTATAAATCTAAGTATCTTTTAAACTGATTAAACAGAGGGAGCATTTTATATTATTACTTGAAATATTTCGATATTAATGAAGGAAGTAAAATAATACGTGGAATATAATACAGTGATCTCTCTCGTGTATAATTAGGATAATTTATCTTGTTCTCGCCAATTCATTCCTATGAACTAACATTTCATACTGGAAATGCTTGAACTAATTTAAATAACACAAATTATTTTAGGTCAATAAAACCTCCTACAAGTTGAGTATCGTAATCATTAGTTCAATCGGCGAATGTTTAAATTTGTCAAGCGTCAGAAAAATTGCCCGAATTCCCAATGCACCGTATATTTTTGAAAATAAAGTATGAACTAAAATAATTACAAAAAAAAATTTTTTTTTTCGTTAAATTTTCGAGCTTTTTAAATAAATGCAAAAAAAAAAAAAAGTTTTAGTTCCCAAGGGGAAAAAATCAAAAAATGATTAATGTTATCAAAGCATCGAATTTTTCCATTGTGTTTATAAAATATTAGTTAAATTATTTTTAAAAAAGTCTTTTTATTGCAGTTTTACAACATTTTGTTAAAAATGGATAGATAGAAGAGAACTACATACAGTAGTCAATATAAAATAATTTTTTTTAAAAAATAGGTCCTGTTTTCTTTAAAAAAATTTCCTTTCTTCCTTTCATTCCTAAGGGGGCCCCTTACTAAACTACCAACATATTTTCATTGTTTCTTAGAGCAGTGGTTCTTAAAATGTGTTCATTGGAAACATAGAGTTAGAACATTCGTTGTAACTGTTAATCACATTTAAATCTAATCAATAATCCATTACCTATTTGATTTGTCGATTGCCATTATGAATTTTTATAGTTCAATGCCAATGAAAAAGAAATGACGATTTCGATTTTAAACATAGATAATTTTTCTAATATTTTGAATAATCGAAATTCATTAAATAAATTTTAAAAAAGACATGCGTTATAAAAAAATTACATTGGTTTTTCCCATCAGCTTGGCTTTTCAAACAAAAAATAAATAAATAAATAATTTTAATAGAGACACATATTTTCCTAATGATCATTTTCAAAGTTATAGTAGTTCTTTTTAGTAAAAGCAAACGATAATTCTATACGTTAATAATAAATAGCAAGCAAACGATAATAATAAATGATATTTTATTCGTTTTCAGTTCATGTATATACTAAACTCATTTCCACGCCTGATCCCAGACTCAAGATTATTCCTTCCTTTCATTAAATATTTTCAAAATTAAATATTTCACTAGTTATTACTGTTCACAATTATCTTTATAAGCATTATTTATATAATGAGGCCCAAAGCTCATCATTTAGTGTTCCATAACGATTGGGAACCTCTGCTTTAGAACAAACAAGTAAAGAAAACAAAAACATATGGAATTCAAAATGACTTACCCCATGCGTACCCATAGAGTTGGTGCGGGACAGAAGAGGGTCCACTGTCCACACAGAGGTTCCAATTCGGCCAGAGTGTAATTTCGCCATCCGACAAAAACAGAAAGGTTTTGACAGACGACTCTCTGCTGTTCTCTTCTTCCGTTTGGGATCTGAAAACACAGAACAGGCGCACCTGCCCTTTCAACCAATGAGAAGCCTACCTTTTCCTCCCCCCTTTTCCCCGCAGGAAACCATGTGACATGGAAATCGACACACCTGCTTTTTTGTAGCCTGTAGTATACGTGACGCTTCATTAATAAGCTCAAAAACAGGGGATTTAAAAAAGGGAGCTTCTGTGCGTGTTCCTTTTTTTTTTCTGTCTTTATATCCAGAATTGCATCTTTCGCTCTTGTTCTTGTGGCACTCACCAATGTGTTTTCCTCCCGTTACTTTATGGATGTTCCTTTTATCATTTTTCTTTATAAATTTGGAGCATTAAAAAATACCGATTTTACCTTTTTTTAATTTTGTACTTTTTTGCCATTCTAAGTAATTTCGTCTGTTAGTATTTATTTTATTTATTTTTTAGCTAATTAGAGCTAGTGGTGTTAGCTATTAGTTATTCTTTACAAATTTGGAGCATTAAAAAATACCGATTTTCTTTCGTAATTTTGTACTTTTTTGCCATTTTTTGTAATTTTGTCAATTAGTATTTTTTTTCCCTTAGTTAATTCAAGCTAGCAGCGTTAGATATTAGTTTTTCTTTACAAATTTGGAGCATTAAAAAATACCGATTTTCTTTTCTAATTTTGTACTTTTTTGCCATTTTTTGTAACTTCGTCAATTAATAATTTTTTTTTAGTTAATTAGAGCTAGCGGCGTTAGCTATTACTTTTTCTTCACAAATTTTGCGCATTAAAATTTTTTTGTCATTCAGTACTTTTTTTTTAGTTAATTAGAGCTAGGGCAGACCTCCAATATGCTACCCTTTTATTTACAACAAAATTTAATTTTATTTTTATATCTAAGGTCATTCGGTTCAAGTACATTACTATTATTATTTGTCTAAAGTAATTCAGATGAAAAAAAAATAGAATTAAATTTTTTTTTAAAGTGACTACAATTGATCCCTACTTAAATCAATAAATAAATAAAAAAAAAATTGAAAAGGCGTCTAATGGAAGGTAAATTCAAATAAAAATAAAATATTTTGGTACAATTTTCCTTATTGTGGAAATAATTTCCGAAAATTCCTGATTCTTTTCGTCATGTTTGGTTTGTTAGTTTACGATAATATAATTCATAGAAAAACAAAAGTTTTATCGTATGAAATCTCTTTTAAGATCAATTTTAACGCATGCTAGTGAAACCTGGACCCCGTCTTGTACGGATGATATTATGTCGGTTACCTTTGAGAGAGAGAGAGAGAGAGATCTTGAGAAGTATTTTTGAAAGAATTTTAAAAAAATGGTGTGTGGCTTAGAAAAATAAAATTAGAGCTTTATCAATCATATAATGAACCTGACGTTATTAACTTTATTAAACGGCAAAGAATAAAATGGGCAGGTCACGTTATCAGAATGGATGAAGACACAGAAAGAGTTTTCAATGCCAGACCAGTTGGCACACGAAAAAGAGGCAGGCCGAATTTGCGATAGATAGATGGCCAAGAAAAAAATCTTTAGGTCTTAAAAACCAAAAACTGAAAAATGTTAGCAGGAAAAAGGTTAGCCAAAACACTTCTTAAGAAGGCCAAGGCCCACCCGGGGATATCGAGCCATTGATGATGAGTTTAGGATTACATGGGTCTTATATTCCAAGTTTACTTTGTAAACAATAGAAAAAAGACATTGTCAAGTAATTCATTTCGTTCTTCCCCATCCCTTTCACTAGATTAGGGTTAAAGGGTTCCCATGATCCTTGAAAAGGTTTAGTAGTGGCAGTCAATTTAGGTTGATGCTAGAGTATATCTCTTATTTAAATATACCACTTTAGCGTTAAGTGTGTTAGAAGATGGGTCATGGGTTAAAGCGTTCACCTCCCAATGAGGTAAACCGGGTTCCAATCCCAGCGGTGGCTGGTCGATACGAATTCCGCATCCGGCTTGCACCGACCACAGTGCTGACGTAAAATATCTTCAATGGTAGACGGATCCTGGGTTAGAGTCCCCTTGCCGTCAGGCTAACTCGTGGAAGATTCTCGTGGTCTTCCTCTCCATGCAACGCAAATGCAGGTTAGTCTTATCAAAACGTCCTCCACGAAGGCAAATTTCTCCAAATACATGATCCAAGAGTTCCCTCGTTTTCTGGATTGGGTTCAAAATTGCAAGGCTACGGAGTTGAACACAAGAGTAAGAACATATGTCCGAAAGACTGGCCAGAGTTAATTATCAAACATAATACATCGGGCTTATCGTTTTCCTGCGTTAAAGGATGGGTATTTCCTTTAATAGTTCTTCCGAAAAAGTATCAATAGCTTAAATATTTAAAAATTAGGAAATCTTTAAATTGTCTCTGCCGACGTTCATGTTCCAAAGTAAAGTAAAAGAAACGTATTTTTCCTTCACACTTAAAACAAACTCTTAATTTTCTAAAAAAAAAAAAACTATCAATTCATTGCATTATGAACTTGGGAGTCTATTAAAAAAAATAGCAAAAACGGCTTGCCTATTATAACTACAGTTAAACCCACCTATAGGGAACACGGTTTATAGTGAACTTTCGGATATAATGATTGTCAGCTCCCGTGCCATACAACATACGTATAATTTTATTTTTTGTGAATATAGAGAATCAAAAGAGAAAAAAAAAAGAGGAGGTTGCATATTATGAACTTCTGTCTTCGATTGATTTTCTTCATTTTTATAATAATTTTGAAATTTCTACTTCAAAATAAATACATATACTGATTTATAAAACTATCAATAGCATGGAATGTAGCAACAAGCATTTTTTCGAGTTTCCTTCATTATTGAATAGCATTACTGAATTGGTTCAGCATTCAAAGAAACCCGCAATCTTCCAGTATCTGGACCAAATGCTTCAAGTCAAAGCCGATGAATTTGCTAAGCGATTGGGTGAGACTACATATATAATGGCTGATTAGACAGGTTTAAAAAGCGGAATAACATAAATTCAGGACAAATGATCGGAGATTCGGGAAGTGTTTTCATATTTGATGTTGAGGATTGCACATCAGCTAAAGATAATGAATTATTATTTTTTTTTTTGAACTCAAATCAAAGAGGAATAAAAAATAAAAGTTAGCACTTTTCGTTATTACGTATTATTTTTCAGTTATTTTTGTATTTCACTTTATGGGTCATTTATTTAAATAATGTGTAATAAAATTTTGGAACCATTAGTTAAAATTGTTTGTGGAACGGATATAGAGAAGTCCCGGTTATAGTGAACCGAAATTTCGGTCCCTTGAAGGTTCGCTATAGCGGGGTTTGACTGTATAAAACACTTCAGTCCTACAGATAACCAATCGAGAGTGGAAATCTTGATGTTTACGAACTTAGTTTTAATATGTTTGCGAACTTAGTAATAATGTTTACGAACTTAGTTTAATATGTTTACTGTTTTAATATGTTTACGAACTTAGTTTCTTGAACTAATAATTTCTGAAAATTCTTATTATTCACAATATTTTTACTGAGTCTTTTGAATTTATAATAAGGTCTGTCAGCTCCAGTTAAAATTTATTAAACTGGAAAAACTCTCATGTTAATAATCGAATTTGATTTAATTTCTTGACTTTAATCTTTTGCGTATTCACTGTTTTGCTTTCGTTACAAGCAATTTTCCATTGCTCGAAAGCTCGTATTAGATGTGCTGGACGCAAAGCGATACGTTAATTGAGGAACTTTTACGATTATATAATTTTAGACAAATACGGGCTGTCATTTGAAGAAAATTTTTATATTTACTTTCCATTTAAAGGAATTTCTCAAACATAAAAATTTTATTTTGCATATAAAGTTTCGTAAAATTTTAATGTCCAAAACAAAACTAATAGAAAATTAAGTAGAACTAGAACTAAATGCAAACTTGGTTTTATCGGTGAAATGGACTTTAGACTAAAGGTTTGAATGAAATTAGTTCCCACATAGCAAACTTAGGTTTATTTCAACTCAGCAAAAACATTTTAATGTAAACCTAAAAAGGTATGTTATGCGGTTTACGCGTTCTAACCTTAAAACGAGATCTGCAACAATCTGCTCTATTCTACGCACATTACCCTAATCCAATTCCCTGGAGAGAAAAAACCTTCGATATAAAAACCTTAAATCGAGGTTGACTTAGGATTTTCAAGCGTGTAAAAAACCCTCTCATAAAGGTAGTCTGAAGGTGAAAATAATCTTAAATCTAGATAATTATAAGGTTTCTTTTCGCAACGTCTTGTATGCTCAGCTAAAATCCACCTTGTCATGAAATTTTAATGGACGATGCTATTTGATCCTATCTCTAGTGTGACGTCAGCTAAAACGTCATGATGGACCTAAGTGACCATTTTACCTAAGTGGCAATACTTTTTAAAAAAAGCTTTAAAAAATCATTTTTAATCCACTTAGAATTGCAAAGGTTTGAAACTGCAATATTTTTGCATTATTGAAAAACTGTTTTTAGTACAAACATTTTCGTGGCAATAAAAAGAAAATTCCGAGACAAGGTTGCATGCTTTCTGGGTATGGTGTTAAATTAAACCACGTTTCAATTATAGGTGAACCGTAATTTCGTATCATCAAATTTAAGAAGTTAGGCCATAAAGTTTAGCTAGGCATCTTATTAAGATAGATGCAAATGTGAACTATATCCATGCTTAAAACGCACCAAAATTTCTAACATTGATAGTTTTAATTATTTTATTGGAACAGATTTAAGAAGTTTTGAACTTTTACGTGACTTATATTATTAATTTTATTTCTTCTTAGACACATGAAGTAGACAACTTGAGAACTTCTTTGACAAAAGCAGAAGAGGATCTGAATTGGCAAAAGCAGTCAACATTTAACGTTTTAAAACTTCTCCAGGATACTGAAGTAATAGCTGTTTCTGGATTTTTCATCTCAAATATTATTTTTTAAAGCACTTTTGAATTCTTAGAAAATGTAGTTGGTATTTAGTGAGGAATTTCCTTGAGAGTTTAAGAAAAGAAATATTTACTTGTTGTTTAATCAAATGAAATTTCTTAAATCTATTCATTTTCTAACGATGTATCATTTCTTTCCTTATTTTTTAGAATTTTAAATTTGCAGCTATCTAACACAAGTGTCTGCAAATGTTCTAGATATTTAAAGCATTCCATTTTATTTGCTTATTTTTTGCATGCAGCAACCTATTAAAACATTTTAATTAAATTTCCAATTCTTTTAGAGTTTCTTAAAAGTTTTTTTTCTTTATAGGCGAAATATAACCAGGATAGATTGGCAAAAGAAACTGAAATAATAAGCTATAAAAGACAAATTGAAAAACTGGAATTTGACACAAAAATGTTGAAGTGCGAGGTGAAAATTCTCTTTCTAATTAATGTTTAAAAATACAAGTTATCACAAGCCTAAATATTTACAAGCTATTTGTAAATAATTGTTTTTTAATTTTATTTCTGTGATTTTTCAAGGATTACTATAACTTATGATGTTTGAAGCCGTAATCTTTAGTAACATGCATTGCTGGTTTGAAGTATATATATTAAGTGATAACTTCTTTAGAACTTGAAAAATGTATCATTCACTAAGCTAGAGGTTGCTTTCTTCTGTATAAGCTAGCTGATCTGATTAAGCTAAAGGTTCTGTATTCTGATGAATCCACTCTTGTAAGTGGATCACAGGAATTGGTGATCTATGCCAGTTTACCTGAAGATTTAATACGACTCTTCGCAGTTTAATATATTTATATGTTACTATGAATGATCGAAATCGGTGGTTGTTGACTTCTAAATGTGAATGTTGACAATCACATAGTCACTTTGGTAAATTTATGAAATATATACTAGGCCTAGTTAAGTGCCACTTGCCCGTAAGCCCTACATCAATTTTTTTTTAAGGTTCAGTGCCACTCACCGGTATGCAATATATCAATGTTTTTTTAAGGTTCTGTGCCACTTCCCGGTATGCCCTACATCAATGTTTTTTAAGGTTCGGTGCCACTGCCTGGTATGCCCTACATCTCTGTTTTTTTAAGGTTTGGTGCCACTTCCCGGTATGCCCTACATCGATGTTTTTTAAGGCTCTGCACCCCTTCCCGGTATGCCCTACATCAATGTTTTTTAAGGTTCTGTGCCACTTCCCTGTATGCCCTACCTAAATGTTTATTGCAAGGTTATGTGCCCTTGCCTGGTATGCTCTCATATGCTCAATGTCTTTTTTGAAGTCAAGAGCCACTGCTCAGTGTGTAGTACTGCGAACACTGATGTTTCTCCTAATCTATCCTCAGCAGATGTTGAAATATCGAATAAATATAATAACGAATAAATTAATATCAAATCGGATATAGAAAATATTTCAGACATTCACCAAAGCGACTCTGTGATTGTTGACATTCACGGGTGAAAGTCGACATTCTCTTGATTTCGGTCATTCACAGTAATGTATATACATGGTATATCACATATCTACAGAATTTCAAGTCATTTGTCTCCTTTCGCTACCTTTGTCTCTTTGACTGCCACGGTTTTCCACCAGTTTCCTCTCCCCCATTACATATTAAGTAGCAAGTTATGCGCTATCTTGTTTTTCATACTCTGTGTTTTTTCCTGGAGAAGAGTGTTCCTTTTTGGGTGTTTGCAGCAATCTAGTTAAGAACGACTGATTCTGGAGTTAGCACCCCCACATTGTTAGAATTTTCATTCTAAAATTATGGTAAAATAACCGGCAGCAGTCTGTCCATCCGATTAACTGCAAAGTTTACGGTAAGGAATATTTTTCACCGTTATGGTTTTGAAACCGTTTACAACTGGTAGGGTTATAAAATCATGAATACGAAACTAAACGGTTTTTTAACCATTCACAGTTAGCATGGTTTCGAAACTGTAAAAAAAGAAATGTGACTGGACATAAGAGCTAGGCTTCTCGTTAGATAATGAGCATCGGGGAGTGCAGGACACTGAAAATTCTTCATGTGTGGAATGTAAGTGTCAACGCTGGGACTCGAACCCCAGTTCTGTCGATCATGAGTCAATAAAATTCTTATTTCTTAACCGTTTTAGAAAAAAATAGTTAATAAACGACTCACTGTTAATAGTTTCATTACCATCTTATTTATGATTATTTGGCTGCTTTGTTTAAGTACGGTAACATAACAATTGAATAGATTGTTATTTAACCATTTTTTTCGAGAAATTTCTAACCGTGCAGTAAATCAGAACAAGAACTATGAGGCTTCTGCTGTTTTTGGCACAAATCCCATTCAAAATGAACCATCCTTTCAAAGGAAAGCAGCTGGCGTGAATTGATTGAGTCCTTAGTTTAATATACGAATTGGATCATTTTTCTTCTTTTTCTTTAGGTTGAAAATCTTGAAAAGCTGGAATCAGAAAACGTGAAATTAAAGGAAGATATAGAAAATTTGAAATTGGAAATTGCTGATCTTGTATGAATGAACTGTCGTTTTTATTTTTCTTAAATGATTCTTATGAAAAAGTAACATACTTTGCTAAAAATTAAAGTTATTGAAACGAGGGTGGATTGAAAAAAAAAATCCCAGTTGTAATTTAGTAAAACTCGTAATGTTGTTCGTAATGAAATAACCTACTAAAGCAATAATAATTTATTTTTATTAAAATTAAACTGAAATTAGACTGAATTGATTTTATTAAAATTAAACTGGAATTAAAGATTTTGTGTTACACAGAAAAGAAAACTGCGAATATTTTTTTCAGATTGCTTGGCTGTTATAGGAGTCCAGTTAAATGTTTGTTATCTCTATGAAATTATTTTTTTTATAATCAATGATTTATTTTATTATCCTTCATAGATAGCATATCATCTTTGTGAATATAACGAAATGCTCTTCTTATTTTTTAATTCAATCTAGAAATTAAAGAAACTCGCAATTTAAGTATCGGAGTACAATCATATTTATGAAAGTTATAAGAATAACTTATTTTAATTAAGATAACATTAAAATAAAAATAATTACATTCTGTGTTGCCCACAAAGGAAAACCTCGAAAACATTTTTCAGATTGCTTGGCTGTTATAAGATTCCAGCTATATTCTCAGCATTATCTCAATGAAATTGTTTTTAATGATCAATCTTTTTTATTATTATTATCCTTGATAGATAGCTTATGGCCGGGATAGCCTGGCCGGTAAGGTAGTGGACTCGTGTTCCTGACAATGGGAGTTCGAATCCAGCCTGGCAAAGAATCCCCGTTTATGAAACGGTGACTGGTGCACGTTAAATATATCGGTGTCACAAAGTCCTCCAAGTTCCCAAAACAAATTAATATCTCTAGTGGTACTGATCCAAGAGTTCCTTGTCTTCTGGATTAAATTCAAAATAACAAGGCTACGGAGCTGAACATTTTTAACTGTAAACTCTAATTTAGATCGGCTGTTCAACGACGGTTATAGAATAAAATATAAAAAAATCATAACAGATTTCTATTTTTAAAAACAACTAAAAAAAACGGGAATTAGAGGATCTGTATAAAAACCTCATACGTTGAAATCGGCTATGAGTGTTAAGGCTTAAAATCAAACATAAATGTAAAAGGAAAGAATTGAGGCCACCGCATTATTATTATTTAAATAATTAAAGACAAAAAAAGACTCTAAATTTATAAGTGATTACTGAAATATTGCTTTTATTTTCTTCTTTAATGAAGCTTTGCAACGTAATTTGTTTGAAATTCTATTATATTTTTTTTTTATTGTTAATAAGTTTTTTTGCTATTAAGTTGAAAATGAAAAGAAAAAATTCAATAGTCGAATAAATCCGCATGAAATAATTTTTTTTTCTTTTTCAAATTAGGTTCGGAAAAACGATGAATTAAAGAGTGGGATGCGAACGTTTGGTGAAATGTGCGTTGAAACTACACTTGATACGGTAAAAAATAAAATTTTCGATTTCTAAAAATATTTTAAATTGCTGCTAATCGGAGCAACTTTTCTACGCATAATTTTGCAGACTTGTCTCCTCTATTTTTCTGGTGCAAAAACTTGACGAGCATACCAGAAATTATGTTTTTTATAAAAAAGAAAGAAAAAAAAAAGCTGGCTAAGCTGCTCCGATTCAGAATGTGATAATTTTTAGTAAAAATTTTTAATTATTTTAGCATTTTTCTTAAAGTTTTATTATTTTTAATAGTGTGTCGAAGAAAAAATGCAAAATGCTGCTGTATACACTAAGGAGGATTATCCCAAAAGATCTGAGATTCAACGAAAAGTAAATATTTCCTTAAAAAATCTGAGAATGACTTTTTGGGCATTTACTTAAAAAAATTATACTATGCAATCACTATTACCCTTTGGCAAAATGGGTCTTTTTATAGATTTTATTTTGATGGTGTGCGCATTTAATTTGGACGTCATTGCACTTTTCAACTGTGTTCAAGAGGAATTGTAAACAGTGCGCATGCGTCGTCATTGCTTGCGTTCCTATGGCGACCACTGCTATTTGATAATTTTTTTTGAATTCTTTTTTTCTTTTTATTTTCACCAGCAGTCATTCTTAATGTATTTACATAATAATAATTTAAAGTATTTTTATATTATTTTTATTATTAACTTATAATGACTGTCTTGACGTTGATTTTAATATGAATGTTAATACTGAAGAAGGAAAAGTATTTTGTGACATCTTGAAACACGTATATAGGCAGGATTTGAAGACCAATCCTACGACAAGCATCCATTGAGACAGTTTTTGCAACCCATGATTTGGAATGTTGTGCCGTTTATCGATGTCAAACCAGAAAAAAAAGCATTTGGCCGATGGGTAACCAGTGATTGTAATAAAGCAATCACAATTTTATTTCTTTATTTTGTTTCTTTTATTTTAATGTTTTGCTATCGTGTTTCAGAAATTTTAAATTTACGTTTGAGGGGACAGCTAATTAATTACAGCTTTCATTAACTTTTTTAAAGCTTTAAAGAAAATTCATCGATATCATTTTTAAATAAACTTTGCATACAGGTTTAAAATAATAAACTATGTGTTTATATTAAGTTGACAACTGAATCCCGAACCTTTTTTATACGTTTGAGCTGTGAAGTCATTTGATTTGCTCAGGCAGTTTCCTTCTAGTTAGACGCAAATTTTCGCACAAAAATCGCTCTCAAGCTCTCAGATAACTCTTCATCGAGCACAACTTAATGGCCACTCATTAAGATTCCATTTCTAAATTTTGCATTTTAATGACAAGTTCTATTAGCTGTAACAGCCTCTCTATACGCAGCACAATTGTCACGAGTAGCTTTTTTTTGTTGCCTTAGAATTGAGATTGAAAGCAAAAAAAAGGAGCTGTCGAAAATGACCAGTAAAACGGAAAACTTAATGACTTAGGTTGAACATAACATCTTCTTTCGAATGATTTGAAACATCATGCTTACAACGTTTCATGGCATTCCAAGTCAAGAAGGAAAGTATAAGGAAATTTTGAAAGTTCTTGATGGTCCCATCAAAACATTTTGATGGTTTATGTTGGTATCAGTGTGATTTATGATGGTCCAACATCATTTGACGGTCACCATCATCCAACATATTCCATTACGTGTTTATAGTTTTGATATGCCAACAAACTTCCATTATTCCATGATGGAAAGGCTACTTTAATACTATGAAGGTCAACCATCAAGAGAAGTTTATCTCTCATGGACAAACAATCCATGATGGTTCCAACTATACATTTCCATGATGATTTAATGGGAATTCTTGTTGGTTCTTATGAATATACCATCAGAACAATTTCATTTTTTTTGTTGGACCATCATAAATCAATCCGAATTCCTACGTTGGGATATTGGTTGTTCATGATCGTTCCAACATTTGATTTCTTAGATACTATGATGGAAATTCGTAATGGTTAGACATGAACAAACCATCAAAACAAGTTGCTATTCTTATGGTGTACCATCCTAAATCAGTCCGAATTTCTACATTAAGATGATGATTACTTATGTTGGTTACCATCAAAAATATAATGGTTCATGATGGAATTATGGATAGTTATCATCAAGATTATGTTGGTCCATCAATGAATAACCATCAAAAATTTTAACTAGGGATGCAAATTGTTATTATTTATTTTTTAAAAAAGAGAAAGAAAAATGCAGAAACTTAATACATTTTAATGTCCATTTCATCAGAGCTGCCCGCATGGTCCTTTTTTATGAACTTCAGCAAGCCTCCACTTTTATAAGACAAACATGATATTCATTTCTGTATTAAATAGTGATTATTTAATTCTAATTTAAATTAAATATTCTCTTTAAAAACTGAATTTTAAAAGGAAATTTCTACTCTTGATTATCTAGTAGATTTGCGAAAATTATTTTATTCCAGATGAAATTTTAAAACGAGTATATTTTTAATGGATTATAAAAAAATATTGAAGTAACTTGGAAAAGTATTAAAGTAACTTTAAAGATAAATTGTAATCTGTAAAAACTCTCAATAACTTTTTTTTCCTCAACAGAATTGTGGCAGTGTTCCTTCCAAGATGTATAATGGAAACGACAATGAATCGAGTCTTTTCGTTAAAGATAAAAAGCACGAGGTTTGTTCGATTTTTATTCCCTTAATTTTTTATTTTTTCTGGCAAAATCCCAAACTATTAATAAATATTAATCAAATCTCATTTATAATAGCTATATTTAATTTTTCTTATTGAGGTAATCTTGATGTAATAATATATATAGAGTTGAAGGCCGTTGTTTACTGGACTGGTTGATTGATTGAATATTGTGTAAGAATTAAAGAAATAAAGGAATTAAAATAAATTAAAGAATTAAAAGAAATAAAAAAAGAAATTTGCTACCTTTAGAATTAGTTACAATTTCATGTTTTTAGAAAAACGTATCAGGAAAATGTCATGTCAATGGCATTAATAATGAGTTAGTTTTTGAGTTGTTTAATAGAAAATTTTTAAATTTCTTATTTTTTCTTTCCTTTTTGTGCCACGCAATGCAATTTAGCTAAAACTATTTATTGTTGAATTATGATTTGTTACAGCGACTTACAATTATTTCTGTAAACATGCAATAAGTATCTTTTTGTTTTGCTGTTTTGTATTTATTTTGGAGTTTTGCGTTTTCCTTTTAATTTCTCAACAAAAAAATAAAACTAAATGCAGTAAAATCATTTATTTTTTTTAGTCATGTTCTCTTAGGTCTGAACATAGGAAAGCCTATATTTCAAATTAGTTTTGAAGTAATTAAATCATTTTAACGACGAACGGTGATTCTTTTTTTCAAAAAGAAATTATGCAAATGAAGTCAAAATATGGGAAAACTAAATTTAATTTTTTTTTTCTTCTCAATTTTGATTTATCTGAAAATTTCTGAATATCTCAATTTTGAAAGCACAATGTATGACTATGCTGTCTTCCAAAAAATGCGAAAACAAAGGTAGTACATGATTAAAAGAATTCATTGACAAAAATATGCATATAGAAATAAATTCAACATGATTCAAGCTCTCAAAAATAGGCACCCATCCTCAAGACTTGTTAGACGTCTGGAATCTGGACAGCGTCAGAAAATTTCTTTTCACTTTTTTTTTCTTTCAAATTCAATTGGTAGGATTCTCTGTTGCCTTTATAAAGGGTTAATTTTCAATTTTCTCAAAGAAACTAATTAGTAACATAATTTAGCAGTGTTTTTTAATTTGATAACATAAGTTTGCATTAATAAAAAGTAAATCATTTTTCAAGCTGAATAAATAATTTTAGGCATCTGAAATCACTAATTTTTCATTAGAAACCATTTGATTAAGATCATGATTTAAACAAGGAAAATACATAGATTTAAATTCTGTAGTGATTTAAAATCGCTCATGATAAATCAACTGATTCAAATCGATATAAATTCCTGCTTATAAGAGGTTTAAATGTTAATAAAATGGTAAATAAATATTTTTGATAATCTTATTGATTAAAGTTTAAGTTTGCACACGCATTTATCAAATTTCTGACAACATTAAATGTTATTTTGTATTAGGTTGGTAACTAAATTCCCACAATCCTTTTTTAAATCAAGATTTTTTATATTTTGCATGTCATTAAAAGCTTTTCAATATCATAAAAATGAAATGTCAAGTCAAGAAAAAAGAACTTTTTCGATATCGCCTTCTTTTTGCTATTAATCAAGATTGGTAAAGCCGTAATAGCTGCTGATGACATTTGTGCAGCGTGTTGGGAGGAAGTCATAGTTAGAAGAATGAACGAGCATAAATTGCGCTAAAGGGGGAAAGTGTGATATGAATAATGACCTTTGACCTCCTCCACACTTAGAGCTGCTGAAGAGTGAGTCTGTCAAATAGCATGAAGTGAGGACAGTTCCTAACCGTAAACTTTCAATTAATCCTTATGAATTTATTAAATTTTTAAAAAATAAATCTAATATCTTTCAAATACTAAAATTTTTTTCAATGTTTAATTAAATTAAATTTTGATGCATCATCCTGAATTCTACCAGCAGTTAAATCCATATAATTATTAACAAGGTAATATTTCCTGGTGGTTCCTTTTGGTGTTTTTTATATTTTATTTTACATTTTGTTTTTTTTGAACCAACAAATGAGGGACCCCATACACAATTACTTAGCAAAAAACTACATCGACTTAGAAGATAACATGCCGTATATTATATGTGCTTGGAAAAAAAATCTTTGATTCTAAATTATGAAAATAAGTGTCTATCAATATCATGCTTATGTTAACAATCGGAAAAATTTTTAAAAAAAGAAAGGAACGAGAGAATATTGAGAAAGAATATCTGTTGGCGAAAAACAGTCATTTTTATTTCCTACTTTCTTTCCCCTCCCATGACGAATTTTGGTGAGGAGGAGAGTTCGATAATTGATGTCACTGATTGAAGGGGGTAGAAAATTTTGCGCAGTTCAGGTCGACCCAGAAGGAACCACTCGTGATGAATATGCTAAATTTGAAAATAAAAATTTTGGCTTTAAAAGAACGCCTCGTTTTAGCCACCTAATTGAATTCTATGGAAAGCGATTAAACTAACTTTTGCATAAGAATTTGGTATCAAACGACTGATAAAGAAGTTCGAATGCTTCTGTGGGGAAAGAAGTTATTGGCAACGTTAACATTCATCTATGAGAAGGTACCCCAACACAGAATTACGTTAACATATTTTATATACTAGTGAATTGGAATTATATTTTTGTAGTGGTAGACACATTACAGCACTCCCCCACCAGAACTATATCTGTGATAGAATTCGATGAACGGATACCACTAGTTCATTCATTGCTGTTTTGCGAGAAGCTGGGAGAGCTGTATTAAGATCACCGTACTATTAGATGTTGATCGTGTGAGTGGTATTAAGTTCTTGGTCGTGGTTATTCCTGTGTTGCCATTAGCTGTCGAGTGTGCACAGGCAGACGTTGTGTGTGATCGAGACTGAGTAGCAACAGCGCAAAGAGGTAGATAATGTCGCAGTTACAAGTAGCAAGTCTACTGTTCATTGTGGACCATCCATCGAAGTAGGCGTTTCTATCAAGGTAGGCATGGGCATGGCAGATCGTGTCTAGGTCACCAATGTGGGGAGAGAAGTTATCGACAATGTCTATGAAAAGGTACCCCAACATAGAATCGTGTTACATGTCTTATATACTAGTAAATTGGAATTGAATTTTTGTAGTGGTAGACACACTACACTTCCATACTAAAAAAAGAAAAGAAAAAAAGCGGAACTGGAACTTGGTTACCCATTATAAGCACTTCTAAATTAAGTAGTTATTTTTAATTGCATATAAAGTTTATTTTAAAAATTGAAGCACTCAAAAACTCTAAAATTATCCTTAATTTAAAAAAAATGTCTTATTAGCAACCAGTGAATGAAAATATAATGCCAATGCCTCACGACGATAAAAAATGGGATATTAAGTCTTCAGGACGCTTGGAGAAAGTGTATGATCAGGTAATGTATTCCTTTTTTTCCTTTCAAAATTTATAAAACTAAATATTTTATAATTTTATGAAATGTAATAACAAGTGCACACAGATCCTAGAAATTAATTGGAAAAATAAATTGAAAAATATATATTTGATAATTTGTTTTAACATTTTATTTTTTTACTTATTTAACCTAGTCAGTATTAATTTGTTCACATATTTCAGTACTTTACCATACTAGGTATATGTTTAAACATGATCAAAGCTAAAGGTATAGTGACTAAAGTTTTTGTATCAGTGTATCAAATTAATAAAAGATCTAACAGTTTTCTATCTATAAAATTCTTACAAGTATTGACGTTTCTTAATTTCGCTGGCATAAATGATTGAAGACTTACGATTGGTTAGGAGGTAGACTAAGTTTCGTAAAGCTGGCTCTTATAGTTAAACCACTGTGTCTTTTCAAGCATTATTGTAACTTTAATCTTAATTTAAATGCTTAACTCTTTCATTTATAGGTTAACTCGTAAGACATGATAACGATTATGTCGTATCCGACAAGTCGACATCGTTTGTCGGAATCAAATGTTGTTTAGACAAGCAAGTTTCTCCTCAAATCGTGGCGAGTTTATTTGTTATTGTCTATCTTTTCTGTTTTATATCCTGTTTTGATATCATTATTTTATTCTTTTAATCAATTTTAAAGTAAAAGTTTTTTATACTGTATTCTCATGTCTGTTTTAAATTTCTAATTTTATGATGTAGCATTTTTTACATTATAATGAGGTTGAAAGACTTAAACAATCATAAAAGTTTTATTGAAAATTTTTATAAATTCATGCTTTAAATATATGCTTTATGCTGCAAATATATGCTTTAATGAAGAGATAATATTTTTTATAATTGTAATGGTTTGATAAGAAGGCAAATAAAGACTCTTATGTATTTCAGACAGAACTCGATCTAACTACTGGTTTCTGCTTGATTGAATAATAAAAAATATGTTCCCTTATTCAACTGAAAATTTTTTTTGAAACATGATAGAGCGACTTCATAAGATAAATTTGGTAAAATTCATTTAAAAAATCATCTAAAAAGGTTATTCTAAGTTAAACTAATATTTTAATTCGATTAAAAAAGACGCTAGTACTTTAAAACATTTAAAGAATTTAAGTAATGTTAAGTGATTACAGACATAATTTTAAGTGTAGATTGGCGGCACTTAAAAACCGCCAAATCTGTAGCTGCGGTGGCGTTAATACGTAAGTACCATTTCGTGCACCCAAAAACGTTTCTGCACTGCTAGCTTTTTTCTTCTAAAATAAAGTAAGAAGTTTGAGACGACGATTATCATCCGGCATATTTAAAGTTTGCAGAAAAAAATCACAGCAGAACACAAGCAACTGCTCACTTGTTGGGTCTTTGTGCCAACTAAATTAAATGAACGCCAATTTACGATACTACCAATAATTTTATCAAAAAAATAACATATTTTATTTCTTAAACATTTTAGAACACAACAACATTTATTATATATCTAACTCCGTTGCCAAAACGAATTCAAAACTAAAACTTATAATTTTTCAAAACACGTTCAAATAAATTATTTAAATTTTATGTCTCTACACACTCAAGCTCAAAACATTGAATGAACAAGAATTTCTACTTCTCGGACTAACGATATCGGACAAGTGAAAAAACAATTGCTTAAACGATCCGGCAACGACATTGTCGTTCACACATTTGTCGTCCGATTTTGTCGGTATCGTGTCGTGTAATGAAAAAGCGCCCTTATAGTTAAACCACTGTGTCTTTTCTAGCATTATTGTAATTTTAATCTTAATTTAAATGCTTAACTCTTTCATTTATAGGTTAACTCGTAAGACATACTTAAAATAATGCGATTTGGCGATGTAGTCTCAAAATGGGGTGCGATTTCGATACCATTCTATAATTTATTTTTTAAATTAATTTTCAAGCACGTTTTATTAATTAAATTAAATAAAAATCTAGATTTAAGTTTAAAGAAATCTGAATATTCTGAATATATAAAATTTTTCAAACCTCACAATTCAACTTGTTTTTCATTATCAACAAATTAATTAATAAAATTTATTTAATTCATTAAAATTGCCCGTTATCTTTCGTGTTTGTTTTTGGGTTGACAGCTTATAACTTATCTATATATTACGTATATGTTGTTAAATGTGTATTACTGTACTTAATCATCATGTAGGTAATAATTATTATGTATATATTATATCAGGGCTAAAGAGAATAGAAGGGCTAGTTCACTCCGCTCTTAGAGCTGAAGCTACGATTTCCCTCCACATGACGTCACTGTGTCCACGGATCTCGGAAGATCGCACGCAAAGATATTATGATAACTTTGCTTATTTCTCTTTGTAAAAATAAGTTAGACTTTTACTGGTTATTAGCTTTCAAACTTCACGTAATTAACACATTATTTCCATTCATAAACATAGTTTAAAAAAACTTTCTTTGCCATTATATTAAAAAAATACCATTTTAAACTTATAAAAATATTTTACTAGTTAGCGAAATTGACACTATAAATACTTTATTTTGAAAAGTTCAGTTTTAACTTTAATTATTAAGAAAAATGAAAGCATATATCGACACTTTTTTATCTACATATTCTTTTATGACAATAAGTTGAGTTAAATTTAGAATCCCCGATTTTAAAATATGCCGCTAATAGCAATTTGTTCATACTTAATCATTAGGAAACATCAACCTTAAACGCTAATTACTGAACCAAAATAATAATTTAGGTTCATAATGACATTAGAAATTTTACAATTGCTTATAGATATTTAAAATTAACGTGATATAATTTGTAGATATTTAAATTCAAGAGAATATAATTTTTAAAAGAATCATAAATATTTAGAATGACTACATTAAAAAAATAAGTTATGGAATTAGGAGAATTTCAACTGTACACTATATATTTTATTTTCTGAATTTTTGCAAGTTACAATCGCGCAAACTGTCATTTCGTTAATAGTTTTAAAATTTTGTAAATTCACGGCAAAAACTGAGAAAAGTCATTATAGAAAATAACAAATGTCACAAAAAGAAATGCTCCAATATTAGTTAGAGCTAGTAAGGCCGAACGCTCTGTTCTTGAAGTTAAAGTGCGAGCTTTGCGCCAAAGTAACGTCACTAGAGAAAATCGGAGGATTGGTGCGGCGAGAGTTTCTTCAAAGGAGTGAACCAGCCCTTCTATTCTCTTTAGCCCTGATACTATATAGCATTACATATTAATACTCTAAATCATTTAGCAATTATCGTGATGCAATTCTTAATGCTTATATTTCCATTTTAAAGGTAGTAATTGTAATGCCCATATTTTTATAGAAAGCAAAGATCTGCGATAAAAGAGTGATCGATCTCAAACCTAGAGCGAGAGATCTAGATTCCTCTGGATCTGAATATTTAGAACTAGTGTATGATGAGGTATTTGTTTAACTCTATTCTTTCCTCAAACAAATTATGAATGATTTATAACTTAAAAATGAAATGAAATTTAAGAAATATTTTCCAAAATAATTACACGTTTCATGCAGTGTCGGATTAAGCGTTAGCGGAGCCCTTGGCCATTCAAATTTTTGGGGCCCTTAGATTAAATTTTTTTCTCGTATATTTCTTATTTATTCAAATATAAAAGTATTTATATATCTTTTCATATTAGAAAGCATATTTAAAATTAAAATAAATAATAATAAATTGAATTTTACTTTATTTTGTTAAATTAGAACTAAAAAATAATCATGGCATATATATTTAGAATAGATTTTTTTAAATAATTGTTTTTCTTAATTTTTTAAAATTTATTTTCTAAAAATCCATTGTAAGGGGGCCCCTAATCATTGGGGGCCCCATGCCATGGCCTAGTCTGGCCTAATGGGTAATCCGGCACTGGTTTCATGTATATCAATTTGACTATTAAATGTCGTCGTAGACTAACTGGGAAACTCCGGCCTGCATTTTTCAGTGACTAAATATTAAAACCTTCCAATCTGCTTTATATTCATCACCCTATATAAGAATCCCTATAAAGGCTGGAGAGGATTCGGTTTATTGATCTTTACGCTACTCAAGAAAGACTTATCCAATTAGAGTGGATTTTCTTAAACTTATTACAATAATCCTTAAATAAGGCGATTTAAAATAAAGTTTCAATAGACAACATGACTACAAACTGAGCGACTAATTGAGCCAAGGATGATATTTTCTTATTCATCTTAGAGAGCCGTGGTGGTTCAGAGGATAGAGCGTTCCCCTTTCAATTAGGTAAGAATCACAGCGATGGCTGGCCGATACGAATTTTGCACACAGCTCGAACCGACCACTGAGCTAACATAAAATATCCTCAGTGGTAGGGTTAGAGTCCTCTTGCAGGCATGTTAACCGTATGAGGTTTCACTCACCATATAACGCAAAATATATTATTGCATATAATAAAAAAAAGGATGATTATCAAATTAGTAATAGACAACCAATGTAACAAATTAATAAAAGATCTAACAGTTTTTTATTTACAAAATTTTTACAAATATTGACGCTTTCTAATTTCACATATTTAAATGACTGTCCGCCACGCTATGTTTCTGGGACCCTAGCACTGCTAGTAGAGACACGATCCTCTTAAAATCTTTTTTGATGTTTCTCAGGTGTTTCTCAGGCCCTAACACTGCTAGTTGAGACACAATCCTCTTCTAATCTTCTTTGACGTTTCTCTGATACTTCTTGGTCTCTAGAATTGCTTGTCGAAATTCGGTCATGTTCCATCCTTCTTCGACATTCCACAGACGTTTCTTGGGCCCTTCTTCTTCTTTGAGAATCTCTTAATATCTTTTTCCTTGACAAAATACAATGTTTTTTGGGAGGCGGTTCTGCCATGTCAGTAATCGGGTTTTTAAGAAGTCAACGAATACTTTAGAACAACAATTACTATGAAAGCAAATCATGAAACTTCAATATTAAAATCTAAGTGCTTACCTGCAAACTGAAACTTTCTGAAAATAACTAATTACATTTAATAAAAACTGTTAAAATAAAGAATAGAAAAACCAAAGAGATCCAAGGTAAGTGTGATCGTTCCTTCAAAAACAATTAAATTCCTATTTTATATATTATATAGCTACAACGCTTAAGAAAAAAAAACTAAAATGCTAAATACATGAAAAGAACACGAAAACGAATTAATTTTTTATGGTATCAATTTCTATTTCTATATAATTTTTTATGGTATCAATTTCTATTTCTATATCGCTACAAAAATTATCGTCTTCGCTTAAGAAAAAAAAATAGAGCGTGGAAAGAAGAAGAAAAACTTATTATAACAATTATGAACAGCGACAAATATATCAAAGCGAAGCGTTCTATTTACGTATCGAATATGTTGCCACATTTTTAATACAAAAGTTAAACTTTTCTCCACTTTAATAAATGTAAACTAATGCGAACTTTACAATTAAATTATTAATTCCTTCGTATATTATTGGTTTAAGTTGTCGAAAATTAATATTTCAATTGTAAGGTTCGCATTAGCATACATTTATAAGAGTGGGGAAAAGTATATGCATTTTTTAATAGTTTTTTGAATATGGCTCTTTGAAGACGAAAAAGCAGACGAAAAGCATAGACTTACAAAATGACTGATAACTAAAAAACTAATCCAAATTTTTGAAAAAGAAAAAAAAAATATTTCTTCATTATGTCAAAACACAATTATGTGCCGAGTTTCGTGCCTGGGCGAGGCTTCTGGGGCGATATATTGTGATTACAGACACACACAGCCGCGTTTATTATTATGTATAGATTAAAGACTCAATCAAATTGTTTTTCATTATTAAATTGTTTTACAACTCACATTGTTTTTCATTATTGACTAATTAATTAATAAAATTTATTTAATTCATCAAAATTTCCTCTTATATTTCATGTTTGTTTTTGTGTTGACAGCTTATGACTTCTCTATACACTACGTATATGTTGTTAAATGTGTATTATTGTACTTGGTCATTATATAGGTAATGATCCCTGTGGTAAAATTTTTTCGAGCCATCTGCAATAAAACTCTCTAGCACTAATATCTTTCTGCAAGATACTTTTAATAGCAAACATATATGTTACTAATTTGAAATAACAAAAGCGCTGTGTTTACAAAAGAACTTTTTTTATTTTTAATAACGGCAGGCATTGAACTTTTGCTCTTCTCCTTAGAAGATGCCGGAAGTGTTGCTCATTTATCGTTACCCAGTGGGCACCTGTGAACCAAAGTCACGGAAGCGCGCAACATTACCCTCTACACTGCCACAAATACCCGTTCATACGGTGGGCCAAATTCACACATCGGAAGACAACTCCGAGAGAGAGAAACATCCATGCCCAGAGCGGGGTTCGAACCCGCAACCATTGACTTCGCAGTCAGGCATGCTAACCACTCGGCCACCTGGCCGGCTTTACAAAAGAACTATGTAAGAATTTTTTATTCTAATATGAGTGATATTCTCGCATTTAGTTGGGGAGGAAGCTCAAATTATTTCCTTCTTCGCATTTTGTAAATACTTATCACAAAAAAATAAAATTAGAAATCATGAAATTCGTAGTAGTAATTGCTGAAAAAAAGATCGACGCCGAAATCACGTGAATCAGACTCCTCAAATGCGTGTTTCGTTTCGAGATTATCGAATTTAAAAACTATGGAGAAATCAAAAGCCATAACTGCCGAAAATTCGGTAGAATTATTGCCTTAAAAAGTAAATACTCAAATGCACGATTCGAATTTTCCATATTGTTCGAAATATATCGGGATCTTTAAAATCCACGGGAAAATCAATATCAAGAACTGCCGAAAATACAATCGAAACATTACATCGATTCGCGATACTATCGACGCAAATTAAGAGTGTCAAAACGTGATTACTTAAATGCATGATTCAAATATTGCGTGTGAATTTTTGTAGAAAAGAAAAGAATTTTTTTTTAAACTTTTTAAATGAAAAATCTTTCTGTAAGAACTCTGTGCCGTTCTGCGACAATGTCGCTGTGATTCTGCTACGGGGGTAATGATTATTATATATATACTATATAGCATTTCATGTATTACTCTTAATCATTCAGCGATTATCGCGATGCAATTCTTAATGCTTATATTTCCATTTCAAAGGTAGTAATTGTAATGCTCATATTTTTATAGCAAGCAAAGATCTGTGGTAAAAGAGTGATCGATCCCAAGCCTAGAGCGAGAGATCTAGATTCCTCTGGATCTGAATGTTTAGAACCAGTGTATGATGAGGTATTTGTTCCTATTTTTATGATTATGAATGATTAATAACTTAGAAATGAAATGAAATATTTTCCAAAATAATTACTATTTGCAACTATTTTCGACCTGAGGCGACTATGGCAGCTTTTTTTTTGCCTGAAAAGGCTAAAAATCAACTATTTTCAGGAAAAAGATACTATTGGGAGACTTTTCTGTGATCCTAGCGTTGTTTTTTTAGCCTAAATTTTTTTGACAACCTGAACCTTGACTTCTGAACACAATGAATATTTTTTTCTTAAAAAAAAAGAAAAAGAAAAAAAATTGAATTGCAAATTTGAGTCATCACTTTTCTCAATTTTCTCTCACTTTACACCACTATTGAATCTGAATCTATTTTGCTTCTCAATCGCATTTTGAACAGTTATTGCTACGAAATTCTGCATGATTTAAAAAACCCCAATTTTTAATACGATATTATGATGCTTGAATTTTGAATTTGAATAATCATTTTAATATACACAGAAGAGCTATTACATTATGACCACCCTCCATCTATAACAGTGGGCTCGCCCAGGAACAATGTTTTCATGGGGCACATAAAGACCCATAATCCTCATAGAATAATCCCTGACGTCTGTAAGCTACTTGAACATAGTTGCAGACCAGGTTCATCCATTCATGGCAACAGTTTTTCCTGCGGGGGATGGTGTTTACCAACAGGATAATGCACCATGTCATAAGGGTCGAATCGTCATGGATTGGTTCGAGGAACATTCCAGTGACTTTCAAGTCATGTCTTGGCCCCCAAATTCACCTGACCTTAATCCAATAGAGCATTTGTGGTCCTACTTGGAAAACCAAATTCGTTCTGCCACGCTATCCCCTCGCAATGTGAGGAAATTGCGGGACCAGTTGGTGAGCGCTTGGTGCCAGATACCTCAGACTACCTATCAGCACCTTGTGGAATCAATGCCACGGCGGGTACTAGCAGTTTTGAAGACTAAAGGTGGTCCTACGTGTTTTATAGCAGGGTGGTCATAATGTAATGGCTCTTCGGTGTATATATATTTGCTAAATCAATTATTGGTTAAACTGAAAATTTTTTAGAAAAAGTATGTTTTTTTTTAATGAAAAAATATTTTTTTGAATGATTTCTAGCAATTAAAGGTATTTAATTTTCTGCAAATATACTTATTTTTTTTAATGAAAATGTAGTGCTAGAACACTAATGTTTAAAAAAAATTTATCATATTGGCCACCAACTTGACTAAACGGATCATGGTATATGACAATTAAGTCATTTTATAATATTTTAGTCATATTTTTGTTCTTATTTAGACAACTATTTGGATAGTTTTCGGCAACTGTTTTCATACATTAGGCTACTAAAAGCAACTATATTGATCATTTTATTCTGTGGCAACCCTGATGTCAGATTGACTGCTAAATGTTGTCGTAGACTAACTGGGAAACTCCGTCCTGCATTTTGCAGTGACTGAATATTAAAACCTTCTAATCTGTTTTATATTCATCACCCTATATAGGAATCCCTATAAAGGCTAGAGAGGAATCTGTTTATTCAACTTTACGCTACTTAAGAAAGACTTATCCAATCAGAGTGAATTTTCTTAAGCTTATTACAATAATCCTTAAATAAGGCGATTTAAAATAAACTTTCAATAGACAACATGAATACAAACTGCCCGACTAACTGAGCCAAGGATGATATTTTCTTATTAAGCTAAGAGAGCCGTGGTGGCTCACGGGATAGAGCGTTCGACTTCCGATTAGGTGAAGCGGTTTCAAATCCCAGCGATTTCTAGTCGCTACGAATTCTGCACCGGCTCACACCGGCCACAGTGCTAATATAAAATATCCTCAGTGGTAGGGTTAGAGTTCTCTGGCAGTCAGGCGAACCATGGGAGGTTTCATTCTCTATGTAACGCAAAATGTAATAATGCATATAATTAAAAAAAAAAAGATGATTATCAAATTGGTAGCAAATGTAACAAATTAATAAAAGATCTAACAAATTAATAAAACAGTGTAACAAATTAATAAAAGATCTAGCAGTTTTTTATTTACAAAATTCTTACAAATATTGACGTTTCCTAATTTCACAGGAATAAATGATTAAAGACTTACAATTCATAAGGAGGTAGACAAAGTTACGCAAAGCTGGCTCTTTTAGTTCAACCACTGTGACTTTTCAAAAATGTGCTACTCTCATGTTAATTCAAATGATTAACTCTTTCATTTATTGGCTAACTCGTAATATAAAGTAATGCAATATGGCTATGTAATTTCAAAATGAGGTGCCATTTCAATACCATTCTATAATTTATTTTTTAAATTAGTTTTTAAGCACTTTTTATTCATCAAATGAAATAAAAAATCTAGATTTAAGTTTTAAAAAAATCTGAAAATTCTGAAAATATAAACATTTTTTAAACCTCACAATTCAGACTGTTTTCCATTATTGACAAATTAATTAATAAAATTTATTTAATTTATCAAAATTGCCTGTTATATTTCATGTTTGTTTTTGGGTCGACAGTTTATAACTTCTCTATACACTACGTATACTCGTACGTAGTTAAATGTGTATAATTGTACTTAGTCATTATATTAGTAATGATTATTATATATATACTATATAGCACTTCATATAATTCTTTTAATCAGTCAGCTATTATTGCGATGCTATTCTTAATGCTTATATTTCCATTTAAAAGGTAGTAATTGTAATGCCCATATTCTTATAGCAAGCAAAGATCTGTGATAAGAGAGTGATCGAGCCCAAACCTAGAGCGAGAGATCTAGATTCCTCTGGATCTGAGTGTTTAGAACTAGTGTATGATGAGGTATTTGTTTGACTTTATTCTTTCCTCAAACAAATTATGAATGATTTATAACTTAGAAAACGAAGCGAAATTTAAGAAATATTTTTCCAAAATAATTACACATTTCATGTATGTCAGATTGACTGCTAAATGTCGCCGTATACTAACTGGGAAATTTGGGCCGGCATTTTTCAGTGACTGAATATTAAAGCTTTCACTATTTTCTAATCTGCTTTATATTCATCACCCTATATAGGAATCCCTATACAGGCTGGAGAGGAATCAGTTTAGTGATCTTTACGCTACTTAAGAAAGAATTATCCAATCAGGGTGGATTTTCTTAAGTTTATTACTATAATCCTTAAATAAGGAGATTTAAAATAAGCATTCAATACACTACGCGACTAATTGAGACAGGGATCACATTTTCTTATTAATCTTAGAGAGCCGTGATGGTTAAGGGGATAGAGCGTTCTCCTTTGAATTAGGTAAACCCGGCTCGAATCCCAGCGATGGCTGGTCTATACGAATTTTGCACACGGCTCGCACCGACCACAGTGCTAACATAAAATAGTCTCAGTGGTAGGGTTGTCCTCTTGCAGTCAGGCTAACTGTGGGAGGTTTCAGTCTCCATGTAACGCAAATGCGGGTTAGTTCCTTCAAAAGTCTTCAACGAAGGCAAATATCCCCCAATAGTTGATCCAAGAAATCCCTTATCTTCTGGATTGGGTTAAAAATTTACAAGGCTATGGAGTTGAACAATAGTAGTCGTAAGTCCAAAAGATTAGGTCGACTGTTTAACGACGGTTAGAAAATAAAATATTAGTCTAAGAGTAAGCGGGTTTACTGCGTTAAGCCTAAAAAATTTCAAGACTAATTAGAAAATAAGGGAGACTTTTCCAATTAGTCTGGAGTATTGCATACATGATTGCTGGCAAAAAAAAAAAAATAGCCACATTTATTTTGGCAATGTAAAGAGTCAACTACCAAACTATTTATTTTAATTCTGAGTATTTTTGTTTGAAGTATAGATATTTTTTGACCAAGCCTTTTGTTAAATATGCAATTAAAATAAATTGTTGAATTTATCTAAAATAAAACATAAATACTTTTTACGGTAATAAGAAATCTTGATATTTTTAANTTTTTTTTTTTTTTGGGGGGGGGGGGGTGCTCTCCTTTTTCTATATTTTACTTCAATGGATTGTAGATTTTTGTTAATTTCCTTGTAAAAATTTGCAACAATCCATTTTGTTCCTTAGTATTTTTATTAGTGTTTAGTAGAATGCGTTGACATTTAATTTATTTCTTTAGAAATCGCATGAACCTATAGGATTGAGTACAACTGGCACAAAATTGGGAAAGAATAAGTTATCAGCCACTTCGAATGCGGAACCTAAGTTGCTCCCTTTCAAGACAAAGCGAAAGAGGGAAGTCCAGAATGTTACTCAAGAGGTTTTAGACTCATTTATGATTCAGTGAAATTTTATTCATAAAATTTATTGTATGACATAAAATTTATTATATGACCCAACAAGACTATTAAGTGCTAGATTTTACAAATAAAATTTTTAATAAACTTGATTTGAGCACTATCCTTAATAAAAAATAAAAACCTTCTCCCTATTCAGCTGAATTGCAAATCTAATATCAGATATATAAAAATTTTTAATTCTTTAATTATAGGGATTTAGTTACAGATAATATGAGCTATCTTTATAAATGTGTTGAATATGTAAGCTTTATTTTTTTGTAAACTTATTGTTACCGAAAATTTAGATATTATTAATAGTGATAAATTTAAAAACTTAAGTCTTTAGATTTTAAATTTAGACCATCTTTTCCTATTTCTAAAAATAAGGTTATTTCCATTTTTATTGAAAATCTTATTTCAAAATTATCATGTAAACATTTTCCAATAGAAGAATTTTATGAATGAAATGATTTTAAAATTAATTTGAAAAGGAATAAATTATTTTTTCATGAGATTTAAGTTTTAACTTTGAACTGAAACAAGAAATTAAAAATATTCAAAACAATTTCCATATTATCAGTAATTTTAAGCTAGTAATAATTTTAGTATTATTTGGAAACTTATTATGCAAACAACTTTTTCTGATGAACTAAACAGCAGTATTGCATACAAAAAACGCAAACACCAGTATTGATATTATCATTAATAAAACTAATGCTATCTATAAAAAACTTAAAATTAAACCAAATAATATTAACAATTTTCCTTTCTCTTTCTTTTTTTTCTTCTTTTTTTTNTTTTTTTTTTTTTTTTTTTTTTTTTTTTTTTTTTTTTTTTTTTTTTTTTTTTTTTTTTTTGCTAACCCAAAATTCCATAAAACCCCCAACTAAATTCAGGTTTATTGCTAGTGGCGTACATGAAAAAAATTGGCATTTACTTTGAAAATATTTTAACAAGAGTAAAAAATAAAATTATCAAACACACTAAAAATATTAATCACGTAACTGGAATATCAATAACAGTACAAAAGTTTTAAAAAGCAGTAAAATCTTGAAATACAATAGGTTCTCTAAGTTGTTTTGATTTCGAAAACTTATATACCCCCTCCTAACTAATAAAATTCTCGATGGCCTTCTTAAAATTCATGGCCTATTTAATTTTAATGGCATTATTGATAAAGAAAGCTGGTAATTTCTCATTCATATTAACCTAAACAACAATTATAGTTTATTTAATGACAAACAAAACTTTTTCAACAAAATTATAGTATTCCTGTAGACAATGATTTTAGTACTAATGTTTGCAATGTCTTTTGTCTTCTTTAAAAAAATATAGATCAGTTAAATCATTTGGTAATCTTAATCTTCCTACAAATTCCTTTTTTCTCAGATTTATTGATGATCTTTTGGTTTTTAATTTTGATGCTTTTAAAATTTTAGTTTTTAAAATTTTGATGTTTTTAAAATTTAAATTTTTTATTAAGCAAATTTATCCAAGTGAATTAATTATTAACAAAACTAATATTTGAAATTCTTCAGCAAGTTTTCTAGATTTAACTCTTAAAATTAACGACGATAAATAAATTTCCTTTAAAATTTTTTGACAGGAGAAATGATTTTAACTTTCCACTTAAAAAAAGTATCGATTTTGATTACAACTTAGCCAATAAGGTTTTTTCCAATATCCAATCAGATTTTTAGGTTTTGCAGAAATAATTCCAATTTTCCAATTATAAAGAGACTGATAATTTTAAAAGTAAACTAATTAATAATCCTTTTCCTAATTCATTTCTCCAATTTCAATAATAATAAAAATAAATATGACTTTGAACACTATTTTTTTTCTGATCATAGTATTAGCTAATTTTTTAAGGTGGAAACTAATTATGATATACCACTCCTAAAGCCACTGGATGAAACAGTTTGGATGCATGACCTTTTATGTTAGAACAATTTAATAAGTAAACTTCTAAATTGTAGCCTTTGTAAGATAATTTTAACTGTCCAGTGTTACATTGTTACATATTTTTTTATTATTTTGTTAGTAAGTATGGATAAGGGGTTCTTAACCTATAAACGGACACCCCCGATGAATTCTGGTAATACTCTTGTGAAAGAATGTATGAATTAAAAATAACGTCTATAAACTGCTTCCTATCCATTTATGAAGGCTCTGCCTTATGAACAATCACCCTCACAATCAAAAGAAGGGAAACAAATAAAATCGTTTATTCCTAGTTTGCGTTTGTCCTACAAATATTACTAATATGAATGTTTTTTTTAATGATTTTACAATTTTAATTCTATAATTTATTGAATTTTCTATAACTTCTTATCCTATTTTCCATTCTTAAAGAACTATTTTGAAGTGTTTATTCCATAGATGGCAGCACTGAATTTTTGTTTATTTTTTTTTATCAATTATTTATACGATAAAACCTATAGCAAATGCATTATTTTTTCTCTCCTTTCTTAGCAATTTTTATTAACTGTTAGATTAGTCAACCTAATTTTAACGATTTTTTTAAAAAATTTTACTCTATTTTGGTAAGTTTGTTTTCTGCTTTTCTTTTTTCTATTACAGCTCATTTACAGTGACTAAATTTTTTTCCCGAGGCATAAAAACGTATTATAGAGTAATTTTTATCTGAACATAATTATTCTTCCTTTGAAATGCTTCTCGTAAAGGAATGCATCCTGAAGATATATATATATACATATATTCAGAAATATCGCATTTATCGTAGAGGATGTGTCCTGATGAACACCTGTACGTTTTCCCATTAAAAGTTTTTCGATTTTATTTCATTTTATTATTATTCTTTGTGTTTATACATATATATATAATACTTTCTNTGTATTTGTATATATATAAACACAAAGAATAGTAATAAAATATATAGAAGTTCAAAATGTAGAGAAAACAAGGAAAAAAATTACAGAACAATGAAAAAAGGGGAAAGAAGAAAAATAATAATAAAAATAACAAAAAACCGGGAAAAAAGGAACAAAAAATTTAAAAAAAATCCGGAAAATAAAAGATATAATCTTTTCATAAGCTCACACGATTATATCCACAAAACAGAGTGTTTTCTAATATTGCATCAATATAGCCAAAGCAAAATATATCAATACAAAAGTGTGAGAAGCACTCAAAAAATTTTACAAAAAAATTACACCAAATAAAATAGAACACAATAAGTAAAAACAGAAATTAAAATATAAAGAAAAAACAGAATAAAACATGAAATGAAATCTATAAAGCGAGTAGCGAATTAAAATGAACTTCGAGTTTTTTTTTATTTTTATTTATTTATTATGCTATATATATATATGTATATATAGAGAGAGTCATAGATAGATTGTTTTTCAGGATATGGTACGTAGGAAATTCGGACTACCACCTCGTAAAAAGATGGACAATTTCCATGAATCTCCTTCGTTGAAACCTCAGTTATCGAAGAATCTTGGAAAACATCATGACTTCTCGAATGCAAAGGTTAGTGCTGTTTGAATTTAAATAACCTTAAGTTAAAGTTATTTAAAACGAGTGCTTTTATAAAATGTTGTTATATTCAATACTCAGGTTAGGCTAGAGAATTCTCCTTGGAAATTAACCACTGACTCACCTGCTCCTGCTCAGAGAAAATTTTTTACGAAACGTTCTGAGGAAAGGAACACTCATAAGTCATCTGACACTCGTAAACCTTGGTTTTGAAAATGAGACATTTCGAATATATCTTCCTCTATTAAATATTCTAATTCATGGTTCCACTTTTTAACAAGTATATTGTAAAAGTATATTTGTAATGAATTTTTGACATTCTAAAATAAAATTGAATAAAATAATGCGATTGTTCTATGCTACATTCTCGAACAGAGCATAAAACTATAGTTTTCATTTGAAAAAAGAAACAATTGGAACGTTTATTGTGAAATACTGTGTTGTGCAACAAAAAATATAATTATATATATTAACAAAGATGTTTAGAAATAGAGTTTCATAGTTTCGAAAAATTATAATTATGATGCATATTTTTATTTGTACATTTTAATATTTTCCCCGATTTGTGAATTGTATTCAGCAGAAATATATGTGCATAAAAATTATGCCTGAATTTTTTTTTCATATTTCATTTAACATTTTTGGCTTATTTTTTATATTATCAATAAAAAAATATTTTTGTATTTTAAATCTAGACTTTTCCAAAAAGCTATCTTAAATTACTGGTTTCATTTCATCATTCTCAAGTCGAGAATTTTTGGCTAAGAGCTAGATAAAAAAGATGGCTTAAAAATATTCATTCATAAGAGGTATTTTAAGCCATCAATGTTCTAATTTTTATTTTCCAGTTTTAATAGACTGTTTTATGCTTAGGGTCTTTTTTTTTCTTCTTTAACGTTGACGCGATTTTAATATTTTTATGATGCTTAAAAAATTATTATTAAATAAATTATTATTAAAAATTTAGTAAACTTGAACATTTAGTCAAGTCAATTTTACTTCCTGTTATGACCAGTTTGGTTGTGGTTTGCCATCTTGTAGTGTGGCTCCTTCATCACATCAAACGATAAAACTATTTTTGCAATAACCTGTGTTACCGTTGTCTTAATAAGAATATTTTTAAAAAAATATGTGTGGCCTATTATTATCGTAAAATCACAGTCAGTTCTTCAAATATTATATTCGAATAGGGATAATATTTCTGATTGATCTAAGTTATGTGGCAAAGCCCCTACCTTCGTGTTTAAAGTTATTTGAAATTAGCAAAAGAAACTCGTTTTTATTTTTATTTTTTAAAATTTTTTTTAAAGGACGCGTTTTTATTGTTCACTATACTATACCGTGCAATAGCGCTTCTTCATTTTTCGTAGATGTGTGGTTATTCCTGGGATCAGCCGTTTTACTACAAATTTTGCAGACTTCAAGAAGTAGCATAATTTTAATCTAGTGCTTACAAAATATTCAGACCAATAAAATAAGACCAGTTAAATTGATTATAATAAAATTATTTCTAGTTCCTAATTTAGATTGGATTTATTCCCTCTTTTCGATTCTTCAGATTAAAATAAGACATTTGCAACAATAAAAAGACTTTTTATTGTAATATTTTAATAAAATAAAAAAAGTACGTGTATGAAAAAATTAAAAACTACCAGCAGTTCTTAAACATGTGCGTATACACAACAATAAATATACATTCAATAAATTAAGTCCAAGAGAGCACACAATTGCGTGATGCATTTCTTTTGTGGGCCACAGAAAAGGATGAGTTGTTGGGAATGAACACATTAGAAGTCACTTTTTATCACCGTATAATCCACACTTAAAAAAATCAATCTTTCTTAAGTCATCAGGATAACACCATATCAAATGAAGAGCTTAGTCTATTTCAGTTCAGTAACACAATTGTCGAAGGAATGAAATATCCCGAAATTGAAATTCAATGACTCATGGTGATCTCTGAATTGGTGCTATCGTCAGAGTTATGGACCACTACTATCATCACCAATTATCAATTGTTAGCAGTCTTCATCAGATTCCTTGAAGTAACGGGTGATTCTTTTATTAACAAATAATTGTCTCTGGAATGAGTTCTTGAGGTCAGTTGAGTCCGATGGATTTGAGCAATGTTTGTCCGAGTGAGTAGGGGCACGCTGAAAAAGCATAGCTGCAGTCTTCATTGGCGATTCCTCTATACGCAGCGTCAATGTATCTTTCCATGCCGGTGATTTTTTTACTGAAAAATATTGACATTGCACCAATCACTCAAAATTAGAAAAAAAAATCTATGTGGTCTTAACAGCTATTAAGTTTATCAAATAAGCAAATCAATATTAATAAATGTATCAAATATATCAAACATTTTATATCAAAAAAAGGCTAGATTAAATGAAGAAAACTAAGAAACGTTTTTTTTCCGTAAATCTTCGTGTATTTTCCTATTTTTTCCCTTAATCTACTGGTAACTCATGAAATCATATATACCCTAACATGACGTCACGTAAAGCGACATCACGTAATATTCAAACTTTCTAGGAGGGTAAGATTTAGGGGGGGTATTGGTTCGAAGCAATCAACTGATTTTCTAAATCGCACCACTAACAGACATTTTGGAAATAATTAATTTTCAGTACTTATTGCACAAATATTATTATCAAAAATATGATTTTAGAAGCTGAATAATTGTATTTAATTATTAAAATCTTTCTAATGCAATTCTCAGTTATTTGTGACATAAGCAGGGTATTCACGCACCTGGAAAGTCATGGATTTCGGTATTGAACAAAATTTTTCATGAAATGTCATGATTTTAATTATTTTTAAAAAAAAAATCATGTAAGGTCATAGATTTAGGTCACCGAAATATCTACCCCCCCCCCNCCCCCCCCCCCCAATTTCACGATGTTCCGAATACCTGAATTTGTAACAAAATCCCCACTCACAGTCATATTTTATTAAAATTTAAAATGTTTTTATCGTGTTCTTTAAAAATTATGGTGTTCTTTCAAAAAATGAAAGAAAGGACATTATTTCTAAAGCAAATTATCTTTTAAACTTCAGTGATTTCATCATTTTTATTTCATTTATTTATTATTTTTTTTTTTTATCAATTTAAAATTCTAGCTGAATCAAGCCAGTCGTCGGCCAATTTTTTTAATTCCGCAATGAGCAAGAGAAGTATCTTTAGAATATAATTCTGCAGAAAAAAAAAGAAACAAAAAAATTGATTTTGTATTTTTTTCATCTATTATATTGCTTCGACTCTTTCTATACGCTGTTTTCTAAATTTAAAATCTAAAAATATGAAGATTCAGAGTATAACAGTTCTGGTGATACCTATCATTTCCATTAATGTTATTATAATGCCTTTTTAAATTTATTGTTGTGTTTTTGTCTGAGAAAATAGTAACTTCGTCATGAAAAATTCTTGGAATTAGTCATGGATTTGAAAATCTAAAATGTAGCTGATACCCTGTATAAAAATTAAAGTGTAAAAAGTGATTCGATTAAGCTTAATTAAGAGTAGAAACAATCTTAAATGCCGGGGTTTAAAAAAACAGTTTCATCATCATAAAAATATAATCATGGAAGCTTTACCTGACTCCTTTAAGAATGACCGAGGCAACGCCTTTCTTGGCTAGATATCTTTCGAATTCACAAACTGCTCTCTGTTTACAAGCCTCGTCTTTCACTCTCAACATTTTGAAAGCCCCTTCCGGATAGTTGAAGTTGGTCACAGACTGGAACATCTTGCCGAGATCGTACGACCCAAAGTAAAGACTGCTACTGTCCGATTGTCTTCTGTTGTAGCCAGCTGCTCCTCCTGCTGCGGATGGTACGCCGTGGATGTTGAGATGTTGAGGAGGAGGTGCGTACTGATGCGGAGGTGCAGAATAAGCATGCTGGTAGGCAGCATTGTTTGGATCCATCATGCTTCCGAATAGAGCCACCATGCTGACATATGTGAGGTATCCACCGCCAACGGCTGCCAAAAGACCCGTCAGAGTAGCCATGGTATCGGACACTCCACGGAAAGAAAAGGGTGCCCCCATCACATTTTGGAATCTGGATATGAACTTCTGGATATTCTGGATGCCTTTGAGACCCTGAGTAATACTCAGAGCGGGGCTATTCGTGCCCCCAGTTGCGGAACTTCCCTGGCTGCCTCCACTGCTGCCTCCTCCTCCACCTCCGAGAAGTCCAATCAATCCTCCTCCAAGATTGCTCAGGACGTTCAGTCTCTCTTTTCTGTTGGAAACTTCTTCCTTTGTGGCGGAAATTGTTTCGTTAGTGGATTTTTGAGGTTTTTCGTTTGCCTGTACGAGCAATGTTGTTGACAGCAGGAAAATGAAAAAGAGGTGTTTCTTCATTGTACTGAAAAACAATGACACGATTAGAATAATTTGGAAAATTATAAGTTTAATTAGTTATAAGATTGTAGTGTATCTACCATCACAAATATATAATTCCAATTCACTAGTCTTAAGACATGTTAACTCGATTCTATGGTGGAGTACCTTTTCATAGATGAAGGTTGACATGGTCGATGACTACTCATTCCCCACAAGATAATTAATTATAAAATCATTCTATGTTTAATTAGTTATAAGATCATTCAATAACTTATAGATCATTTTCAAGAATTTTTTTCCTCCATGTAAGAAAAGGCGTTTCTTACATGGATGTGGAGCTTTATATAAACAAAAGGATTATAAAATATCTAAAACTTCCGGTTGGAAAAAATGTAATATAACCAACCCTTCGCTAATTAGAAGAAGAAAAAATTTTTTTTGCTTACTTATTTTGGTAGTAGAATTATATTAAATTAGAAAATTAACAAATAATTATAATAAAATTTTTTTCAAATCGCAATAACTAAGCTGAATCAACGAAGCTTTATTCAACAGATGGTACAAATTTTCTTTAGATTCACGTTTACCAAATGCATAGCTACCAACTCTACTGGATTTTCCAGTAGACTACTGGATTTCAGCCAGTTTCACCTGGTCTACTGGTTTAATTAAAATTCTCGTAGTGTTTGCACATTTTAGAAAATTCCGTAAAATTGAGTAATTTTCTTAAAAAAGTCCCTATTGAAATAAAATTTTTGTGCAGATCATTGCTGGCTTGCTTGAATAGTTAAATAAGTAATACACAAGGAAACGAACTTCACTTATAGAAATCAGCTCAAAACTTTTTTTTCTTCTAGAATGTTCAGATTATTTTTATTCAGAACTCACTTTTTAAATTAATTAAAAATATTTTAACTATCTTTGATGAATTAAATGCCTATTACTATTTGAAATTATTAGTAAACATAATACATAACATTTAAAGTTCATTTAATGTTAATCATAACTGGAAAATATTGCAAATTTTCTAAAGGCTATATGATTCTTGATGACTATAAGGATATATAAAGGATATATATAAGGACTTAAAGGATATATATTCTTGATGACTATAAAAATCCCTTAGTACATTATGAAATAATTATCATTAAACTTATCTTATTTTGTAAAATCTACAGGATTTTTTCCTATCCATGTTGGCAGCTATGCAAATGTATTAATCATGAAACGTCGTTACCAGTTTTGACTTTCCTTAGCAATTGCGTTGGGAATAAATCTTGTTTTTATAGTGTACCAGTTTCGTAGTGGATTCAAACGACCCTGCCTCTAATCGTGGGCTTGTTTTTCGCATATATAGATACTAATTTTATTTTTCAAAGCATGAAGAAAAAGATAAGACCACTCACTCGGTTGATTTCTAACTGTGGATTTAACCCTTTTATAGCGGATTCAGCTCTAGCTAAACTTAACCTAAATGTCCATTTTCTTCTAATCCTTACAGAGAACTTGATACTTTACCACCCCCCCCCNTGTGTTGATTATTAATAAATTTTTATCGTTTTCTTGGTAAGTATTTTTTCTTTAATTTTGAATGAATAATTTCAACTAGAATTCAGCTATTCTGTTTGTAAGTTACATATTGAAATTCATATCGTGATCTTACAATTATAAAATTTTATTATGCGGTTTGTCATCTTAAAGTAATGAAGGGATAACCTACGTATATATTATTTGAGAATAAAATTTCCAAACGAAGAACAATTCATGTTGGAATTCTCTGGATTTAAAAAGAGTGCTATGATTTTTACAATAAAAAATTTGCTTGTAAATATTTTTTTCTTATTTGATGATAGATCTCTACGGAATGGTTTTCTACGTCTGATTAAGAACTTTAAGACAAAAAAACAAAATTTTTAAACCTTAATATAGAATTTTAATTTTAATATAGAATTTTTAAAATAATTTTTTTCCATCTTAAGCATTCTTTATTTTAAGTTTTTTAGTTTATAAATAATATAATGATTTTTGATTGAAACTTAAAATTTTTCGATAAAAATTGTTGTTAAAAAACTTTTTTTAGCAAAATTAAACTATATAACACTATGTGTTTCTGTAGACGTTTTGTGTATTTTAATGTAATATGATTCAGAAAAGTATTGAATTTAAAGTTTAAATAGACCTTTCATATTAGATTATTAAATTTAGTATTGCAATTTCGCGGGCATTAAATTTTAACTCTAATAGGAAGATGAGATTCACGATAGACGTGCTGTTTATTTACAAATATTTTTCCGATGTGTTTTGGGTGTTCCTTCTCTAAAAAAAAGAGATTCTGTTTTGTTTAATCTTGCATATGAAAGAATATCAAAAAATTTTCTTTTTTCAATGTAACAAGTCACAAACAAAATCTCAACGAAACAAAATCTCAACGATAAAAATGTTCTGAGTGGGATTAATACAGAACATAAACTAGGAAACTTATTTAAAATTGTTTCTAAATTGGAAGCAACACATAAAACATGGTGCGTACCGTTTTTTAAAAAGTGCTTAAAGGTGCTTATTTTCGATAGACGTTTCTTAAAAGCCCTTAAAGATTTTTTTTTATTGGACGTTTTTAAAAGGTGCTTAATTTTCCCTTTTCGAAAATTAGATTGCTTTTCTTTACCATGTCGATTTTCGCCACGTATTATGCTAAAGCGTGCTTTTCACATAGTTCATTCAACCTTTTTACAATTCATTCAACTACAATCTATTTCGGCGTATCGTCGGTCCATAGTGTATGAAAGCGCCAATCATTTTACAAGTTTGATGAAATACTTGCGAGTCCGCATGTGCGTCTACTGAGCTGGGTTCGGTGAGATTCTTGCACTCTCATGCGCAACTCTGCTGCATTTTGCAAGATATTCCCCACTTCAGGCTTCATTTTCCACCCTCTGATATCGAACCGAAAAATCTCTCGATCATTTTATTATGGCTAATATAATCAAGAAAAAGAGTTATTTTTATCAGAAACTAGCTATTTTCTCATGATTACATAAAGTTTGTGAAAATTAATTTGCATTTTGTTGATGCATATAGTGCTTAAAAAGAGCTTATTTTTTGTTGAAAGAACTGGCAACGCACCCTGTTAAAATCGAATGGTCATGTGTGTTGACACATTCATTGCTTGTCCCTTGTGTATTTTCCTAAAATGAAATGAATATTTTCGAAATAGAAAATAAATTTTGATTGGGCTCCGAGGCATACATTCTGACGAGAAAGGTAAATTTAGTACATACCACTTGCCAATCAAATATTTTTCAGTTAAGTTAAGAATTGAGAAATTTTTTTTTTGGTCCATTACTTCTTGGATGCAGAAAAGTAGATTTTTAAAAATCAAAATATTGACAAAAATTTAAAAAAAAAAAATTTCCTTTCCTAGTCGATTTTCCTTTACTTTTTTAGGGATTCCTTTTTATTCGACAAAAATTCAAATTTGAAATCGTTAAAAATCAAAATAAATCGATAAAAATTCATTATTTGAATTATTTTAAGGATATTGCGAGCTCTTTTGACATTGTTGTTATTGTAATTCATTTACGTCGCACTAGAACTGCACAATGGGCTATTGGCGACTGTCTGGGAAACATCCCTGGGGATGATCCGAAGACATGCCATCACAATTTTGATCCTCTGCAGAGGGGGTGGCACCGCCGCTTCGGTAGCCCGATGACCTGCACGTGAAGTGGAGCACTTTACGGTAGAACAGTTTAACGAGGACCAATACCACACACCCTCGGTCCCTACACTGACTTATCGAAGTGGTCACCCATCCGCACACTGACTGCAGCCAGTGATGATCGGTGATATGTTGGGAACCGTGTCTTAACGGGGGTCACTGCGGGACCTTTTGACATAGTAATTCCAACGTAATGGAATGACCTGTTTGAACAAAGAGATCAACGTTCTTATTATTCTATCGAATTAAAAATGAATTTAGTAATTAAATAATCTGCTGAATAATATTTGAATAACAGTGTTCATTTATGGTTTCTTCTGAATAGCATTAAAATCTGTTTTTAGATAAACATTTAGAAAGAAATTTTGAAAATGCATCTTTAAATGTTTACTGTAAATTCATTTATTTATTTTTAGGCTATCGGTATTTTTTAAAAAACGGTACTAAATCCGCATAAAGAATTTTTTAAAAAAAAATAGTAATTGACTTATAGCCAATAGCGCTCACTCCGTTGTTAGAAATGAAAATTGTCGTCATATTTGAAGTAACAATTAAAGTTTTTTAAAAAAACTTGCATTTTTGTAGTTTTTTCCAAAATTGACGTAATTGAAACAAAACAAAAAACACACACACACATTATTTTCTAGATTTAAAATTTGTTTTCTGTCTAAGTTCCCGTTCGATTAGGAAAAGACATTTCTTTTTGTTGTTGGTTTCGGGAACAAATTTTTCCTGAAAAGGTCATTGATTTATTTTATTTACAGTCTCTGGCCAAATTATTAGGCGCACTATAAGATTCTATGTAAAATCTTAATTACTCAGGTGATACTATAGGGGAGAGTGGGGTCAATTGTAACAGGGTACGATTGTAACAGAGCAAAAATTTCGAGTGTCGGGTTCTAGATTTGGTTCCTAGGTGGCGCACAAGGTGTATTTAATAAATCTACATGTACACCCCTGATGGCAACCATTTTTATGTACTTTTGAAAGAGTTACATCACAAAAGATATTTTCACGCCACGCAAGTACTTTTTTTGGTATTAGAATATTATATTGTAACAAAGTAATTTTGTTTAAACAAATAAAAATTAGTAACCGAATATGTAAGTGGACACCTTAATTAACATTTCAATAAAAAAAAAGATTAGTTTTGCTAATTAACTAGCATTGTTTTTAACAAATGAAGCTGAAATGGCGTCTTGGGGACAATTGTAACAATAAGTAAAGGGACGATTGTAACAGCTGAAAATAAATAATCTTATGTTTACAAACCATTACTTAACTCTTTAAGAACCACCAATAGT